AAATTAATTAATGAGTCATTTAGAATCAGAATCTACTAACAAGAAAAACATTGTGCTAAAATTTCCCTGCTAAATGACATCGCAATCAAGCAAGAGATGATATTTATTTCTAAGCAGTGATATCAGCAATTAGAAGTATGTACATGAATAGTATATAATAAATTATAGATATTTATAAATAAGGAAAAGTAACTGAACATCAACTAAACTCATATAAATTAGAATAAATAAATAAAGCCACTTTGTGGGCAAAAAAAAGTAGCAGCTGAAATGTTTATGACCATATGCACCTGTCTTTTCATAAATAAACCTAAATCTATCTTCTAACAAATGCCTTAAAGGCAATGAGTATAATTATGTTTATAAAAATCTCTTAAGCTTTAAGATGAATGATTAGCACAAACTATAAAATAAAGGCAAAAAACCCCATATTTTTTCACTATTCAAAAATATACATGAGCTTTAAAATAGGTCTTTAGATTTTCAGTAATAGGGTTGGTCATCTACATAGCCAGAAAAAAAGTATTCTAAGTACATTTACAAATTACACATGCCACTTTCAAAAATGGTTTTAAATGCACAGACGATCTCAGAAAAGGAAGGCAAGCTCTGAAACATCAAAAGTTAAGTGAATGAGGGCTCCTGAAGCTAGAGGACCGGCCATGTAATTGGTTTTCCATCAGTTATTCCAGTCCTGTTGTAAAAATCACTGCTATCAGACAACAAAGAGCTTCTGCACATATCTGATACAGAAGATGGGGTTTGAATGTCCTCACTGGGAAAAGATGATGCAAGGTGGGGATTTTAGGCTAGGACCCCCGTAAGGAGCTAGGAACCTTAAAGTTTTTATAAGGAAGGAAGTGTAAACTAGAAACACACACACACACACACACACACACACACACACACGCGCGCGCGCGTGCGCGCACACACACAGAAGACCACTGACATCTATTCGTCCCAGAAACAAACTACTCGTATTGCAAGACATTGCTCGTTTGGCTTGCACCCCACACCTGCATCCCCAGGGAACAGGTACTTAGATGTCTGTCTCACAAGAAACACAGGTGGCAGGGACAGCCCAAAGAGAACTACAGCACCGGAAAAATAAGTGGTACTTGATGCCTTTCCTCTTCC